GCGACAGAGACGCGCATCGAGGTCACGCTCTTAGCCGCGGATTTCAACCACCCCCCGAGCACAACCAGTGGCAACGCGAGAAGTTGGAAGAAGCCCTGCTAGAAGCTGCGCCTCAGTCTCCGCAAGCAGCAGGAATCTGAGCATGCGGGAGGGCCTTGTCGCGGCGCTGTCAATGGCACCCGGCTCTCAGCCCTTCAAAGACTACCGCTACCACGCCTCGAGAGCCCACGTCGCGGCGACACCCATGCAGCACCAGATTATCCAGGATCGGCCAAAACCAGAAGGTCTAAAGCATGCGCCAGCACGACAGAAACTTGCCATGCGCAAACAACCTGATGGAGGCCCGTCAGTTACCCCGACTTCAACATCTTCGAGATCCAGTTCTGGCCCACGAGCAAAAGCCCCCTCGCGGAAGTCTAGTCGAGGTTACATAGGAGAAGTGCCGATGAGTAAATCTGGACTGGATCGGCATCGCGGAGGCTACAGAACTGACGCAGCCAGCAGACCTGGGCGCCTCAGGGCTGGCTTCCGAGGAGGCCAACGTCGTCGATCTCCCCCGGTAGACGGCCTTTGAAAATGTAGACCTGCCCGGCGCACCTCAATTGTAAACCCTGGCATTCGCGCGCGGTCTACGTGCCGAGGTCCTTCAGGTTGGGATTTGCATGTCAGGGTGCCCAGGCGTCGCGAGGGTCGACATGTCAGGGTTCGTTTGATCGGGACTTGAAATTTCAGGCCCATCTCGCGGGTGGACAGTTGGGGGGGGCTCTCTAGTTTCGCCGAACGCTTGGCCATCGCCTTCTCCGACAAGCCACCCGACGACGACGACGACGCCGGCAGATCTCTCGAGGAACAGATAGCAGCCAGATACCTGATGAAATGCGAAATTGCACCGGGAGCGAGCGCAGAAGCTGACGGCGGTCAAACACGAGAGGGCGGAGCCCACGCCGAAAGCAACGCCGACACGGAAGGGGGATTCGCCCAGTAAGCCCGCCACTGCAGACCTACATGAGTTCTGCGATCCCGGTGGCAAAGCCCAGGCACCGCCGAAAGATTCAGAGGCACGCGCGCTCCTCGCCGCGACCATCAGCACCAGCGCGACCTGAAGAGCCACCACGACCAAGATGCTCTGTTGGGAGATCAAGCTCACCGAGTCACAAGCCGAAGTGGGCTCCCAATATGGCAGCGCGACCTCTTCCAGCCCCCAGTCAGTCCGCTGATGAGTCCGATGAAGACGACGAAGATTTTCAGAAGGTTCTTCGAGAACCACGGAAAGCACGGGGCTGCAGCGACAGCGGGGATGGAGAACTCCGGCCCCCGCGGCGCCCAAAGATCTGGAACGACCTGAACCGCGGAAGGGGATCGGGAAGTTCTGCGACGTAGAGAGGCCAATCAGAGTGCACAGCTGCACTCGCGATTCACAGCGCGACGCAGGCACGGGCGGCCCCCCGCAAGCGCGCGGAGAACGCGCTGGACCAGAGCGGCCTAGGATGCAGCGCAGACCGTGATAACATCGCCAAGTTCCTGTCTTGGCTAATACGCCATGGTCTCTGCCAGCGCGACGGCAGCGATTGGCGGCTCAAGCTGCTTATTCGGAGCGAAGGCTCGGTGGGCGCGGACGCAATTGCGCGGCGTCCATCAGGCATAAGTAGGTCCAGACCCACGCGTCGCCGCGCGGTTCCGCGACCACAGCAGGCCTACATCCTAGAGACGATCTCCAGGGGCCGTCGAAACGATCGCACGGGGCACCGCGTCGCTCGAGACGCCGAACATACCGCAGGAAACGGCGACAGATGTCAGGCGCGGCGCGTTCAGGGCTTCGGAGAGAATGCGGAAATATATCCCGCGAAGGCGTGCGACGCCGCCACTTTGGATACTCGGTATTGATGTGTTTCCTGAAGTCACTGTGCACGGAACGAACGAGCGTGCATTTCTGAGCATTCGTCGTGGACTGGCTGGTGGAATATCACGCAGCAGCAAACATCGCGATAGATGTTGCCGCCAGACGACACGCGCCATCCAGCATCAACCATTAGGTTCGAGAATCACCAGCGGGTTCATATCATCTTCCTGTATACCCATCTGTAAACAGCCATGAAGATCACTATGTGTCAGCTACGAGATCTGGTGCTCGAAAAAGGACGAGCAGTTGATTTTAGAGTCGTTGGGCGATTGGTTTGTGCCATCAGCTGCTTGCTATGTTTACTACGACGCTCGAAAGCGTCGTTGGTCACTTTCTTGTATGCCGGATGACAACTCGGCAGTATTGGCGCCACCATTGCTTGGTTTTGAATCAGATTGAAAAGTGGCGCGCGGAATGCGAATACGTTTGAAGGATTTTGGATCGACCTTGAGGGGATATGAAAACTACATTATCTTTATATCACCTGGCCGTCCGCCACTAAGCTGGCGCAGGTGCATTCGGCAGGCGGTCCTCTGCCGCAGTTGGCGCGTGCAGTGCGCTCTTCTGAGGGCCGCCTGCAAATCCGAGATTTCAGTTCGGAGTAATAATGCAAGCCGCAAGAAGAAACAATATCGCCCCAAAAGGGCCCCAAGACGGCCCAAGAAGGTCCAAAGAGGTCCCAACAGGCCCCCGAGAAGCCCAAAGAGGCCCTCAAGAAATTTCAACCGGCCCCCAAAAGAGGGCCCCACGAGGCCCCAAAGATGCCTCCAGCCCCAAAAGGCGCCGAAGAAACCCCGCGGATGCTTGGACACCGTCAGCGGACATGTTCCAGGCAAGTGTTTTTGTTGCGGTGTTTCGTGCCCTGTTTTCGAAAGATGGAAGGCCACAGCGCTCGCCGTCCATAGTTCTCGCACGCTGCCAGGGAAGCCCAAAAGAGCACCCCAGAGACCGCCAGTAGGCTAGCAGACGCCCCCACGAGGCCCCACGAAACCCTTGAGAAGCGTTTCGCCCACAACCCATACTTTGCAGGACGACACAGCGATGGTGTTGCTGATTGTTCTTACTATGTGCAACAGCAGGAGAAGCGGGAGGAGGATTAGCCAGATAATCAGGAGGAGGGGGACGAGGATGCGGACCAGGAGGGCGCCCTGGCGCCCTCGAGTCCTTTTTTACCCCAGGTTCGTTTTTTTGCAACAGGTACGTTCTGACCCCAAGAGGCCCCCGCTAAGGCTCCCAAGAGGCCGTGGGCAGACAAATTTACATGATTCTGAGTAGTTGTATGGTTGCTTCCGGTACATTTTTCCAGCGCGTCCCGTGGGGCCGACCGAGCCCCAAGACAGACCTGAGCGCGACCTCCGCCACTTGGACAGTGGAATAGCGCCAAACCTGCATCGCGACGAACGCTCTACCTACGCCAGCGCCGTCGGCCTCAGCCTGGCGAGAACCGACCTTGGCAACTCTGCGAAGTACCAAGCCTGATTCGACCCCAGTCTCACCTGTGATCTCCTGCTCCGCTGCATTTCTCTCGCGCCCCCTTTTTTTTCACACTATCCTCCACGCGCGTCGGCGTCGTTGTCGTCGTGGTCGTCGTCCTGTTCGACGAATGTGCGCTTCGCCATTAGCAGGCCGCCAGGCACTTACCACTTACAGAAACCTCCAGCGACCCCACGAGACGTTTGGGCAATTCTTGAGACCGTGGTCGTTTGGAAGGTGTTGGCTTCGTCGGCTTCGGCATTGTCGATTTCACCGTCGACGCAGGAGGATTGGGAGGAGGGGGAGGAGGAGGGCCAGTGCGAACCCAAGACTCATCAACGATGTTGCAATAAACTGGTCTTCAAGCCTCCTTTTTCACTGGCGCATCCAAGAAGGATTTTGTTTCACTACGGAAGAGCCCCGTTGGAATACAACCGTCTGGAAATCTTCAACCATGCGAAAGCACCCACCATTCCTGGGATTTCGACACCACCTATCAACGTTATTGTTGCGGCCTGACGACCCTAGGTCGTGCCAGAACAGCGTGTCCAGGACGCGAACACCGCGAATCAACGTGACGGTCCCGACCTGACATGCCGGAACCGTACCAGAACAATTTTTCTATGACGACAACCATAAACGCACGCGGAACGGCCCGCCATCCACCCGTGAAATGTCTACGATTTGTTTTATGACGAGTGTGCGCGGTGCTACGGCGAGAGCCGCATGTTCAAACGGCCCGCCCTCCATCTGTGAACGTCCTGCGAGGTTGTCAGACGAGGTGTGCGCGGCGCCGAGGCCAGAGCCACATTTTGCAAAACGACAAAGCTGCAGGGTCATTTACTCCAGATTTCCTAATAAAAGGGAGGGGGTCTGGACCCTCCAAGACAAGCCATTTCAGACCCCCCCTCGTGGGAGAACCCCCCAAAACATCGTCCCCAGATCCCCCCAGGCCCTCCAAGATAGCCTGGAAGAGACCCCCCCCGAAATGAGACCCCCTCCCTTTTATTACGAAATCTGGAGTATAGTGTGGAAGTTTCAGGCGAAACGCCCAGCCCGCCCTACCGACCCGTCTCGGGATACGCCGGGGAGGAGCTGTTCAGGAGGACGAGGGGTGGAGGAGGACGGTGATGGAAGCGCTGGAGGGGTCCGCCTCCCTCCTCCGCCTCCCTGCCTCGCTCTGCTCTTCCCTCTCCTCTCTTGCCCTTCCCGCTCTGGCTGCAGCTGCTGCGCCGCCGCCGCCGTCGTCGATGGCGGCAGCGGCGGCAGCGGCGGCACGACGGCCTGGAGTCCCTGGGGCTTCCCAAAGCAATCAGCTCAAGCGGAGCCCCAGACGACCCAGGGGGTGCGCCCGAGGTGGCCCGGTGGCCCAAAGCAGCCCAAGGGGCTCCCCGAGGGTCGCAAGACGGCCGAAGACATCCCGGACAGCCCAAGGTGGGCCCAGGTCGGTCCCCGCAAGCCTTTGATGAAGAGGCTTCCAGGCGGCCCCGAGACAGCCCTGGAGACTCCCAGAGCGGCCCCAACAGATAACAAATTCCCGAACGGCTCCAAAAGCACCCCAAATGCAGGCATCTCACGCACGCGCCCGAGGACTCCAGGACAGCCCCCACAGACGGCCAGAGGCCACCGGGGAGGAGAGCCCCTCACGAGAGCCTGCGAGGACCGAGACCACATCGAGCTGCAGGCCCTGCCGATGCGTCTGGAGAGGCCGCTTTCCCTCCGGGGAACCACGATTTGGCCCCAGATGAGCGGCCCGATTGGGGGGGCGGCGGCTTTCGATGCACTCTGGTTCCCCCCAGTCTGGCGTGCCCTACGGATCCACGACGCGAGCACCCCTAGTCGCCAGAGTTCGCCTCGGCGGCCTCCTCGACCCAGGCGTCGGCTGTGGCCGCGGCGGTGCGCACGGCCAGGGCCCTCCTGAGCCGGTCCCCGCCGGTGGCCGGAGGGGGGCGCGCGGCCGCGCGAGGGGGGGGGGCCCTGGACTCGGAGGTGGACAGACCTCCTTCAAGCAGCGGCGAAGCGTCCTGGCTCGCCTATAGCCCTACCAAACAATGTTCCAAGAACCTTCTGTGGTTTCCAGGAAATGTTCTTAGAACATTTCTGGCTGGAGTCTGTCTTGTTTTATCTCATCGGTGTATGTTCTTAGAACATTGTTTTGTTCTTAGGACAGCTTTGGGTTCTAAGAACATGTCTTGGTATGACTATAGGAATGCCGGGACGGTCGGCCCCTGCTCAACTCCTGCCCTGACACGTCGATGAAGGAACTGGCCGTTTTCGGCTCGCGAGAGGGCGTTGCGGCCGTCGCGGCTGCGGGTCCAGGTCCGTCGGTTTCGGTCCGGGGCCGTTTTCATTGAGGGCATCTGCGCGGATAGATCTGCGCGCGCGCCGCGGAGGGATCTGGACGCCCGACATGGGTACGAAAAGAACGGGAGCAATGCCCAGCAGCAGTTTTTGCTCCTTTTGAGCAGGGTTCTCTGTCGGTGTCGCCGCGGCCTGTGCACATTTGAGTCAGAATCGCCGCCTGCCCAGCAGCGGCCGCGGTTGGTTTGGGATAACGTTTGTTGTTGGGCATTGTGCCCATTTTTTCCGTGCCCATGTCGGGCGTCCAAAGAGGGAGCACGACGACGACCAGAGGTCGTTGCGTCGGCGTCTTCGGCCTCGGGGGGCCCTCGCCGGGCCCTGGGACCGTCCGCGTGGCATGGCACGGACGTGTGCATGTTTCCTCGGCGAGGGGAACTTTGGAGCACCTTGCGAAAAAGTGCACGCACGAGATCGGAAGACGCACGGGAAATAGACGTCCGAGCGATGGCAAGTGAAAGAGCCCAACCTCCGATGTGCCTCGCAGGGCCCCGGGACCGTCAAGAAACGACTCGCGATGAAAATCGGCCACGCGCAGGGGGGTAAGGGGAGGAGGGAAGGCTTCTTAGAAGCACCCCTGCTTCTTAGAAGGCGCAGGCCTTATATAGATGTAAGGCCGGCGCCTTCTAAGAAGCAGCCGCCTTCTAAGAAGCTTTCCCCCCTACCCCTGCCCCCTTGTGCGCGCCGCCAAGAAAAGACGGTCCTGGGGAAAGGGTCGGGATTTCTGGGGGGGCGCATTGAACAAGTCGCGACATCGCATGTCTAGGGCGTGTTCGGTGCGATTTCCCTTGATGGGCCTCGGCAGGAGGGGAGGGAACGGGGGCAGAGGAGGGAAAGGAGGGAGAGGACGGACGGGAAGGGGGGAGGAGGAGGGGGAGGAGAGAGCAGTGAGAAGGAAGGGGAAGAGGAGAAGGAGGAAGAGTAGGAATAAGAGGAGGGGGATGGGCGAGGGGGGATGACAAGCTAGGTGCGCTCGCGCTTCATCTGACATCAGCTCCCTCCCTCCCATACCTTCCCATGGCGCTGATTTTCTCTACAACATCCGCGGACGCGTGTCATAGCCGACCTGCGACTCACACAGAAAGAACACTTCGGGTTATGCGCAATCGGAGAAGGAGAGATGCGTACACATGAGGAGGAGGGGACGGGCGAGCATGAGGATGAGCGGAAGGGAACGGATGAGGACGAACAGCAGTGTAAAGCGGAAGGATCGGGAGGGAAAGGAGGACCAGGGAAAGGCGGAGGAGAAGAAATGAGGGGGACGACAACGACGAATATAGATTCGGATTCAGAAAAGTGGCCCGCGCTTGGGCGAGACGAAGAGCAGCAGCATCACCTGGAATGGAAGGAGCGGGAAGAACATGAGGACCAGGGGAAGGCGGAGGAGGGGAAATCATGGGGGGGACCTCGACGAAGCAAGACTCGGATCCAGAAAAGTGGCCCGAGCTTTGGCGGGAGCGCCAGTCTGAACGCCGGGAGCAACGCGCCGATCCAATGTTGAGGCCCACGCTGCAGCGGGAGCTCCATTTTGAAACACCGAAAACAAATTGGATTGTAAAAAGCGATGAGAAAAATCAATGTTCGAAATATCCTGCGTGTAAAAAACAGCACGCGGAGGGGGGCAGGAGCTCTTCCAGACAACTTCAGGGAAGGAGGGAGATTAGTATTCAGATGGCTTCATTGTGGAGGGGGAGGAGGAGGAGGAGGAGGAGGAGGAGGAGGAGGAGGGAAGAGGGAGGAGGTAGGGACAGGGGAGAGGAAGCGGCGCGGAGCAGCAGCCTTAGAAGAGAACAGGAGGTGACGTGGCAAGGGAAGCAGACGGAGGATGAGGGCGGGAGAGGGGAGGAGGGAGGCACAGAGAGAGTTGGAGGGCCTTAGGCAGGGGAGGGGCAGAGGTTTGACGGAGAATGAGGAGCATCAAGAGGGAGGGGCGGACCGATGCGCCACCAGCAAGAGGCAAGCCTCGATCTGGTGGTCCAGTTCGAAGGAGGGCAGGGGCCTATCCTCGACCAGAGGTGTCCACCCACGACGCAAAACTGTCAACGTATCTTTGCGCCCGTCTTGGGATGGAGCCCGCGCTCCACCCGCCTCACGGGCGTGAGCTGGTGAGCATGGATTGACGGGACCCGAGAGGGGCCAAGCCATTCCACAGTGAGTTTGAACATGCGCCCGAGGGTGCCGTGGCCTCCGCATATCTTCAACGAGTCATATCATGACCGAGCTCCTATCATATCATGACCGAGATCATGACCGTCCTCCACCGCAGGCTCGGGCTGTGGGGTGGGGGGCCAGCACCTACTACTGCAAGTGTTCAACCACCGACTCGTCGCCAGCTGCTGAATGGGGGGTCGGCACGCAGTCTCGAGTAGCTTTGCCGTTGTTCAGGAACGAAAAGATAGCCGCGCCTCGAGCACACCGACCGCAGTGACAGCAGCGCCATTCTGGCGAAGCTCCGCTACGCCAGAATGCGTAGCCATTGACTTGGATGCGGGGAGGAGCAGGCGAGAGATCCGGAGAGACGGTGAGAAACTGGGGTCGGTGGCCGTCCACTTCTACGCTTGTATCATGCGCTGCGCGGCCCATCACAAACATCTGGGGGGAATTCTATGATAGTTGAGATCACCAGTTGTAGCACGACAGAAACCTACGGCCAACAAGAGGAATCTGAATCCAAGCGACGCGAAGCAAATTCGCTCAGACAGTCCCTACCCACCTCGTGCGGTTTTAAGTCCCTTATCACACGCTTCCTCGAGACTAAGGCGGCCCAGAAGCCACTTGAACAGCGCAGGCTGAGGGATAGGAGTCTGATATATGTCGGCCCAGGTCGACGAATTCTGAGCAGCTCCAAGCGCAATCTCGGGGACCCGAACAACCGCTTGAATGTCAGTCACAAGGCGCTCAGGACAGGGTGAGACATAGAACAACTGCCGCACGGCCCATCGTTCAGCCCTGTCATTCTGCTACGGTGCCATGCCCAATGGAGTTGGCGTCTGCCCCCTCCCCTAGTTCCTTGTTTCTCTGGGCGGCCCTTCGGGACATGGGTCGTGGCGCCCTGAGGGGTGCGGGCCCCAGTACGCGCGTGTTGAGGCCTCCGCGAACGCTGGCATACGCTTGTGGGGACTGTCTCGGAGGGGTGTTCGCTCTCGCGCTTGGTCCAGGTCCTCATGACCAGGTCCAGGATGGCAATACGGCAGGGGGAACTGATAAGGCGCAAGAGGTAATTTGCCTGTCTCGCCTTTGGACGCGTGACAAAAAGGTGCAAATATGAGGAAACATATCCACACAGTTACATACATAACCATAACGATGTGCACTTTATACATATACATATAGAGAGAGAGGAGAGAAACAAGAGAGAGAGAGAGAGAGAAAAAGAGCGAGAGAAAGAAAGACAGGGAGGGAGGGAGGGAGAATGAGAAAGAGAGAGAGAGAGGTGGAACGGAAGGAAGCTGATTGTGTGAAGAAGACGCGAGGGCGGGAGGGAGGAATACAAGGAGATGGGGTGGAGGAAGGATCAAAAGGAGGAGCAGGAGGATGAAGACGAGAAGAAGTATGACTGAAAGCAAGAGCAGGAACCATGAGGTGGAGGAGAAGAACGAGCGTGAGAGAGATGGAAGGAAGAGCAGGAGGAGGAGGTCCAGTTGAAGCGAGGGGGAGGTAGAGAAGGAGGTAGAGGAGGACCAGGAGCAGGAGAAGGAGTAGGTGCAGGGCACGGAGCGAGAGAGGAGGGAGGAGGAGGAGGAGGAGGAGGAGGAGAAGTCGGGGGTGGAAGGTTGGAGGAGGATGGGGAAGAGGTGGGGGTGGGAAGATTAGGAGGAGGAGGGTCGAGCGGCCCCGAGGTGGTGCACCTCGGCAGCGCCATCGACGGCATGTTGCGGGGGCAGCAGGCCCATGGGGACCCGAGGTGCCCTTGCGTGGGCCTGGACGGCCTCGTCGGCCGGAGGACCACCATCCCGCCTGGGAGGCGGAGGGACCCAGGCCTCGAGTCGGGCATCTTAGCGCCCATCACAGGCCCGAGCCGTCAAAATGTAGATTGGCTCATACGACAAGTATGTTGACTCGTGCTGATTATACTCGTACTGCTTTCTGCCTACGGGTGGGACTATCCCTGTGATTACTACCGTACCTTCGACTGCTCCGACCTCTACTACTGTATTATCACTGATACGACTACTACGACTACGACTACTACTACTACTACTACTACCACTACTACTACTACTACTACTACTACTACTACTACTACTACTACTACTACTTCTACTACTA